CCAAAGACTGCTTCCAGTAGCGTGGATCAAAGTAGTACCTATGAACACCCTAACTACCCAGAGTCATTTCTGAAAAATTAAACATGCTATGTTTGCTTGCACGCTGATTGGGGCACTCTGGTTGCTGATAGCAATCAGTATGAACTTCCCTACTGCTGATGTAATGATGATGAATGCTGTGACACTGCTATTTCAGACAGCTCTTCTCAGCGGATGCAAACCACTTGTTAATGAATTGAATACAACTACAGCAGCATCGAATAAAACAGGGAAGGGATTTTTTTTTTAAAAAAAGCCAACACATTAAAAGATACCCCCTCAAAAAAAAAGTAACAAATAAGGGCAGAAGAAGGTTTAAGTTCGCAAGAAACATAAACCAGTCTAACAAGCAAATTGAGAATTTTAGATTCTGATTCCTGCCCCAGTGCTTATATTGAAGCAAGTAGTCTTGTTGAAGTCAGTGAGTCTGTTCGCATGAATAAAGATTTGCATGATCTGGTCTTTAAAACCAACTTGTTCAATATAAATGCAATGATTTAAAAAGTAATTCAGAGAGGAAAAAGGGGCACAGAGCTGAAGATTTCTTGGAAAACCGAAGTGTGTGTTCAGAAAGGGTCACGTTTCCTGCTCTTCCAGGCAGAGGGCTGCTCCACTGGTTTCAGTTAGTTGGCACTGTGGGTAAATGAACAAAAAGTTTTTTTTTCTCCCCAGTATATTAATGTGATTATTTTTACTACTGTGGGGCACAGTTTTATGACCAGCATATGTAGGGACTGGAAATTAGAGAATTTCAAATTGCCGGAAAGAATTTTCTTGTTTGAAATACATTTCCAACATACTGCCATTTGTTGACACTCCTTTTAAAAGGGACAGTTTTCCTCATTTAACTAGTTCATTCCAGTAGCTTGTTCCTAAAATTCCTCCAATCTAATATGCAATTGGGGAAAGTTTACATTTATGATTTAAAAAGAAGAGACACACCTGCAGGCAGGTTGCTGTTTTGAGAGGGATTAGGTTTAAAATGGGGATCTGGAATTAATTGTGCAGTGGGTTCAGGCTTTAGGGAAATTACAAAAGGTTCAAGCATGGTTGAATGGGAAAAAGCCATGAATGTTTGCTCTCAGGAAGGAATGTTTATCCCTCTATTTACCTATGAAAGTTCAGGCTTTTGCCCATATACTGTTACAGCATTTTCTTGCCATTCATATGCACATGGAGATGCTGGTTAGCCGACAGAAACTAGCTTTCTGGTTTTTTGAAAGCAGAGCTCCTTGCTGCAGAATAGATACATATTGTCTCAGGCCTGGGGGCGGGAACAGGGAAGCCGCTGACCCACAGGCTGGGGAGAGCCGCGTACACCATCATATAAACCACTTCATGTTTTAATGTGAAGACGACGTCAGGTTGGCTGATTTTCAGAATGCTTTTTGATTGGGATTAACAGCCAGTGGAAAGAAATCTTCACATCGTCCTGGACATTTTTTTTCTGGTAGGCTGCAATTCTCATATATCAGTACAATTTCTGAGAGAAAATAAAAATCACAACCAAAATTGAGGAGAATGATTCTGGAAGACGTGTGTCTGGTTTGTGTTTTCGACTTGGGCTTAAGTTCATCTTCAGGCAAAAAAGGATTTTTGGGGCACCGTATTGATTTCCAGTTGACTGCTTCCCTATCGGGCATGCTTGGCAAAACATACCAAAACACATACCCTGAACTGTTAGTCGTGCCATCTCTCCTGGCTTTCCTTACTCTCCCAGCCATGCATATCACCATGTAGTTGATATGGCACTGGAGTGTAACTGGTGCTGCTGAAATTCTTGCAGATACCCTTGCCACACGTGCATGGGAGCGGAGGAAGGCAGGCACGGGAGGGAACATCTGCAGCGTCGGGGCCATCACCCCGTGGTGCAGGGTGTAGAGCCGAATAAGAACGTTTACTCTTGCGGTGTTCCCTCTTCCATGCTGACATGAATAAAAGCAGCCTTCTGGATGTAAACTAAGCAGATGTGAACCAGAACAGGTACCAAGAGCAGATGTTTATGCTAGCTCATGGCCAATTCTGCAATTTTCTGCCCAAAAGTTCACTTTAAGCTGCTACTTCAGGCCTCTGTTCTGTACCATTGTCCACATTAGGTACCATAAAACAGGAAAGTGATAGAAAGTGGTGGGAAATGTGGAATTGTGTCTCCTAGTCTTCCCCCCACTAAAAAAACCCACCCCAAACCACCAGAAAAATCTCATTGGTAGGCTGTTGGGGAAAGAAAAAAATAGCCAAGAGAATGGATGGATGCCAGTCTGAGCAGCCACATGTTGCTTTGGAATTACAGATGATCCAAAGATGCTTTTGTAGGAGATTAAAGCTGTGTAACTTCTCACAGTACCTTTGTCTCCTTCCTTTTCTGAGCAGCGGTAGGATCAGATTGTAATGGAGGTACTGTCCTGCTATGGTGGAGAGGGGAAGGAGGTGCAGGTAAGTGAGGGCTCCTTGCTCATATTTGCACAGACATCTGCGTGGCAGCAGGCAGGGGAGCCACTGTAGATACCTGTCATCGTTTTTGTGACCTTTGCCCAAATGTTTCACGCCACTCTGCTGGCCTTGTGAAATGGGGGCAAAGTATGTGGCTTCTTCCTTTCTAGTTGAGCACGGAGCATAATTGTTTCCTTTCATGACTTTTAGCCAAAAGAAACAGGCTTGTGAACCGAGGACAGAAGAAAATGGGGGACAAATTCTGCAGCTCCAAGCCCAATTCAGCCCTCCAAGCTCTCACACAGTCAAACTCTTTGATGTAGATGAACATGCCGCCTGAATAGCAGACTTGGCCCTGAAAAGGCAAACCAGAAAAAAAAACCCCACAACTGAACATGTATAGCTTTTTAAATTCCTATAGAGACAGCAGAAAAAATTACTCTGTTTAGAGAATATTAAATAACTCAAAGGAGGGTAGTCAGAGCACAAGAGGGTACATTGAAGCACTTGCTCAGGCAGTGGCCGGAGGCTGGGCAGAGGCAGATTTTGGTATTTATGTGGCCAGGGCTGTACAGAGAAGACAAGCATGATCTGGTCAGTGTGGGATGAACAGCTTGGCGGCAGTGCCAGCATCCCCCCAATTTCTGCCAACGCAAGGGACTGAAAAGCCTGATATATATGATAACTGACGAAAGCTGTGGATGCTTTTGCGTGAGGTGTGCAAGGAGGAAGAGGGAGAAAGCATGAGAGAAATTTGGAAAGGTGCTGTTTACAAAGCTCATAGGAGATCTCGCCTCAAGGAGATTTGTGCATTGCTGGGTACAAGTGAGGGCTGTTGCAAGGTGAGTACTGTTAGGTCTCTCCTTCATATTTGAAGACACCTGGCATTCCCCTTCGTGTTCTGGTAGGAAGTCGTTTTGCAGATCGCAGTAATATTTATAGCACTTTCACAGTGCTTGAAAGTACTCTTACAAGTACTCTGCCATGGCAGGCAGAGCTTTGTTATTCCTGTTTTTAGCAAGAAAGGATCTCAAGGGAAGACAAATGCCTAGCCGAAGGTTAGACCAGTAGGTCAGTGGCAGAGAGTCTCTGATATCTAGTCCAATTCTCTGGCTGTGCTGCCTAGCTAATGATTCATTTAGTGATTGGGCTCTTCTTTGATCCCTACTGTATAACAATGAGGCTTTGGAGTGTTTTATTGTGCTATTAAAAAGAACTCCTACTAGGGAGGTGGGAAGGGGAAGGTTTACTAGACAGCTGTGTTTGTGATGAATTGGCTTTGTAGCCTTCTTTTTTTTTGGTTTTGGGGTTTTTTTTTTTTGGCCTTCAGAATTGGGGAAACAGGTTGCTAATGTAATTATACTTCATTATAGTTTACTTTGTGGCTTGTTTTGAAGCCTTTGGTTTTTTAATTCGTTTAAATGTTGTTCTAGAACAGTGCGACTTCCTTCCGTTTCAGACCTTTTTAGCTAATGACTGCAGTGTTGCTCAGAGCTGAAAACCCTCTTTCTTTTTTTTTTTTTGTTGTTGTTGTTGCATAGGATCGTGTTCAAACTACCGGAGTACTCAGGTTCTAAGCACGGTGTGTGCTGAATATTGATGATTTGTGTAAAGCTTACTTGGTCAGACTGGTGTGCGTCAAGTTAAGCTGCAGACCAGGGCTTGGAAACGTTTGTGTTCTTCGCAGCCCAAGATCCCTGCGGTCTCGGCCTGGCATGGATGCACTGCTGCACAAGCAGTGTTACCCTTTCGGAAGCTTGTGGGCTTCTTGGGTTTATGTCAGGGATGCAAAAAAAGCTCTGAGAATAAGGAGAAGCGATCTGCGGGGTAGAAAATGAATGTATCACGGGAGATGACACTGAGAACAGCCAGGAAAGGCAGAATAACCGGCACGCACTCTGCAGAGTTTTCCATTTTCAGCATTTTCATGCAAAAGAAAGTGATCTCATTATCTGCCACTAGCAATAATATTTGCCTTTCCCTGTGGTTTTCAGGGTGTTACTCCAATGCACTTTTGTTTGAGTTAGATTTCTGAACAAACGAAGTGAGAGATGTTTACACGAGTAGGACAAGGTGTAGAGATAGACAGGATAATTCTTGCTGCAGTGTGTTCGGATAGCGTGAATGTTGAAATTTAAATATTTGGCTTCCATATTCAACATGAAGATCTGTCTTGATTTCTTTTGCGTTGTTGCAAAGTGCTCTGGACATAGGAGAAAAATACTGGCTTTTTGTCCCGGGTCCATTAAAACCCCACAGACTTGAAAAAAATGGACCTACCCATCAAGCAGCGTAGTAGTTTGTGATGCTAATTCTCTTTAAAGGCAAACATACTTATTTGTGGTGTTAGTGTTTCCTTAAATTCCTCAGGAATTCATGCATGCAAACATGATTTGATGGGCATCCAGAAATGGCCTGTGGACTGCTAATTCAGTTGTGCTGCAGGCTCTTCTTCAGGTGAGAGGTGAGAGAGGTTTTGGGCTAAGCTTTCGCGTAGTATTTAAAGTTTATGGCTCTCTTGTTTCATTCAGGTATTAGTACAAGGAGAGCTGAAGTAATGAGAAGTCATCATGGAGGCGCAGTCCCATAGCTCTACCACGACGGAGAAGAAAAAAGTGGAGAATTCTATCGTGAAATGCTCCAGTCGAACAGATGTCAGTGAGAAAGCTGTTGCCTCCAGCACAACTTCCAATGGTGAGTAACAGCAGGGATTTACTAGCAGCCAAACCTACAGTAATTTTATGTTCACTGCATTCCTTGTGAATTGAGCATTTGCACCTGGATCAGTGTTTGTTCTAAGGAAAGGCTAAAGAAAACGAACAAGGTGGGGTGGTGATGGTGGAAAGTGGTAGGATACAATATGTTTTGGCATCAGGCATAGTCTTTTTCTTCCAGATGTTCTAATTTGAGATGTAAGTGTGCTAAGTTATTTATTATAGGAAGTTCCTGGTTTTGGCATTTTGGAAATTGTCTTGATTAGCCTGGCAGGGCTTGCAAGTGCTTTGCATTTGGCCATTGGAATCTCTTACACTAGTTAGGTAATTAGTTACTACAAGAGGGACAGAAGTAGCTCAGTCAAAATTGATGGCAAAGGTTTTTTTTCTTCTCTTTTTTTACAAATAAACTTGCTCCTCACAAAGGGAGGAGTTCTTTAATGGCCAGGGACAAAACACCAAGCTAAAGAGCGTATCCTCCCATGAATTCATTTCGAAGTTATGAATGTACAGCTTGTAGATTTGCAAAACTGGAGTAGTTTGCTTAATTCTCCCCAGAGATTATCTCGCTTGACAATTTTACATACTCTCTGCCTCTCCGGAGAGTGTGTAATCCTAGCCCTGGTCCTTTCATTGTTCAGTGTAAGAGGGCTGAGTGCATTGGTCCCTACTAATGCAAGACTCCCTTTGCATTAGGAAAGAAAACTGCTTGAAAAGGTGTGGGCAGAGTTTAGACCCGTGGATTTTGGATAGCTGCAGATTAACTGTTGGGTTTTGCAAATCAGTCTAATAATGGCTAAAAATGGAAGATGTCTTTCTGCATATTTGGAGTCCTGGTGTATTCCTTGCAAAACATTTTCTGTTCACCCTTTCTGCTTCCATCATGCTCACTCATCTGGGCTTGTGGTCCAGGTCAGGTTCTCACTTTGGTATCTTGAAGAAAGATTTCTGCTTTCTCAAAGTAATTTCAAAATGTATCTCCCACTAGCTAAAGCAGAAAATACATGAATCCCACAGCCATACTAGAGGGGAGACTCTGTGGGTCAATAAAAATTAGATGGCATATGTCCCAGTATCCTTCTGTGTGACCGGACTTCAGATTCAAAGCAAACTCAGCACCTGCTGACCTACTAGTTGGAGTTGATCCCCACGAGAGCATAGCAACTCTTGAGCAGCTATGGAAAAAGTTGCATCAGTTTTCTAAGGCATATGAAATTAGATCCTCAGCTGGTGTAAGTCAGCACAGATCCGTTGCTGTCAATAGAATTACAGTGGTTCACATTAGCTGAAGAGCTCCCCATTGTATTTTTTTTTTTTCGATAATAGGATTTTCCACATTGGCCCAACTTTTCAAACAGATGCACACTTAAACACATACGCGTATTCTTTGATGTGTCAGGGATTTGTACTCAAACTCAATATTGGCACATACCTCTGACTGTTTGGGCTAGCTTTAACGTTATCATTAAACATTTAGATTTAGAGGGCTAAAAATAAAGCCTTCAAGATGCTTTTGCCTAATTATGACACTGATTTACCCTGTGGTCAAATAATTTTCTTTCTGTATTCTGCCTATCAGCTTTAACGGTAATATTAGTTCTTAACTACCTGCTTCATCTTGGTGGTGTGTTACTGCATGTCAGGGGCATCAAACTCCCAAGAGCTGGAATAATTCTAAGTCTAATGAATGGCTAGAAATTTTTGTCACTGGAATTGTCTCCTATTAATGGAATGAGATGCTAATGTAGTACACATCCTGGGGCCTGAGGCTGCATTTGGTTAAGGTGATGATAGTTACCTTTGTTTTCAGTGGGTAAGGGTTCGTCTTGTTAGTCTTTGTATTTAGGGAAGTCACCAGGATCTCCAAGGTTTGGGTTTCTAATCTATCTTCATGTATAACCAAGGAAATGACTTTCCAGAGATACAGGGTTGGGCTTCAAAGGGATAAAAAATTCCATTCCTTCCTGGATATGAAAAATTTCCTCTTAGTGTAGAGACTCCATGGAGCATGTACCAAAACAAATACTAATACCAAAACTTTAGGAACTTAAACATGAGTTTTACTGTTGCGATGTTTTAAAGTTTTGCTTCTTGCAGATGTGATTGTCATGATAATGAATTTTGGTTACAAGGACAAATTTGCATGAAAGCTGGAGCTTGCATCGCATTTGCATCTTTTGTTCTTTAATGCTGGAATGAGTATTACTACAGGAACATCATCATCAGTTGATATAAGACACCACTCCTACAAAACATGCAGCTTGTGTTGATTCAGTGCTTCTTTTTTGCAGAGGGCTGTGGTAATGTTAAATGGTTGTGATTTGCATTTGAATGATCTGTTAAACAAGGTAAGGTACCCTTAAAAATAAAAAAAAAGACAGAAGAATCCTTGCTGGTTTTGTCAGAAGACTCTGCTGTCATTGCAAAGCAACATCTGCCTATCATACCAATGTCACCTCGTAAGCATGTCTAATATCAGTGCTTCTTGCCTTTTGGACAACACATTAATTAGCAAAGTTTGCCGGGTAACATGCACCTGAGTGACAGCTGTCTGAGGTGTCATGTAGGAACTAGTATTTTCCTAGTAGCTCTGCTTTCTTCTGAAGGAGTCAGAACTTGGATCATAAATAGATTGAAAGCTGTTAGTTACGGGGTTTATGCAAAGCTTACAATCATGAAGAAACAAAGACAATGCCGTTGTTTCAACAGCTCCCAAAAGTGAGTAACACACCCAGTAGCAGAATCTATGTTAAAATGAATATTGAGCGTGGAAAACTTTTAAATCATATGATGTGCAAACTGTTTATTGAAGAGCCTGGTGTAAACCTAGGTGCCAGGG